GATGCTGGTGTCAGCTTAAACATGCTCAGCTAATATGATAGAAAATACGTCCATGAGGCTACAACTTGTTTCATAAGACTATCATATTTATTTCTAACACTAAGTTCTACATAAATTTCACATTTAATTTAAAACATTACCTTCTTAATTTAGGCTAATTCACTTTATCCTTAGTATACTCTAGTTACGAAATTTTGAATATTTATTCATCCACCCATACTAAACTTGGATTCATCTCCTCAGCACTTGCCTGTTAAAAGTAGCCCGATCAGCTACACCTTGCTCATGATGACTCTAGTAACCTCCTGCTATCTTCAAAATTTCGGCCCCCTCTGGTCTAGATCTCTCTTCAACTTCCTTTCACAACCTTTCCGTTAGCGTTTTCCCATATTTTTGCTGACTGCCTAATGGCTAAATCTGCATTTCCGTTGTTTTTTTTATATCCTGAGAATAAGGTGAACTAGCCTTGCTGCTTTACTCTAGACAGGAAATGAATCAACACATTCCTACATGCAAAGGTCTACTATATTTACTTCTAACTACATTCAATTCTCTACATTCCTAATTTACAATATGTTAACTAAAAATAATTCACTACAGTGGCAAAGCAGGTATTATATCTGACTAAATGGAGCAGAGTTCTTTTTAAGAAACTGATAATACATTCAGTTCATCAAATTCCTTCCTTTTATGAAAACTAAAGGTTCAAAACTGTGTTAACAAGAACTTGCCATTGGCCCCTCTCTTGAGCCAGGTGAGTTCAGTCCACACCCTTCAACCACATTTTCATAAGATCCATTTTTAATATTGTCCTCCCATAAATGCCTAGGTCTTATGAGTGCTCTCTTCCCTTCAGGCTTTGAAACAAACATTTTATACACATTTCTCCCTCATCTCCCCTTATTGCATCTCCTTGCTTAAGCCTGTTCTGTGTATAAAATACATCATACGAATGTTTATAAATAAAGTTTTACTGTAGGATTCATTCAGACACATTTTAAATATTCTGACTAGTTTCAATGATGTGTTGTATTCAGTGAGAATGTAGCATAATGCTTTCCTCCTAATTGAATCATTGACTTTCTGGAAGTCTATTAATAGCTGATATACTGTCACATTTTACTCATATCTTTTCTACAGTATCTGACAATTACAGAATATCTGATCAGTTGTTTATGAAGTATATTGAAATCCACATTGATGATGCCTACATATATAGTTTTCCTAGATGGAAGAATGTTTGACCAAATTTTGTATGTGATTGGGAATGGTGGTTTTCTTTGTTTTTACTACAGTCAGTTTTACAATTTTTCTTATTAATAGTTACAATAATAGATTTCTTACACTTCTTGTGGAGTTCTTGCTTATTCCTTATCCCTGAAGATGGAGACAGTATGTTTCTCCAAAATATTGGCATCTGCCTTTGAATTTACACAGCAGGAAAACCCAGAACAACAATAATTCTCACCACAGTAAAAAGATCTGATGGCTCAGCTGTATGTATTTTAGTTGATCTAACATCATTAACCCCATGTACATTTAATAACTGGCAAAAATAATTTTTACACCTGCTCAGAATACTGTGAGAATCTTCAAGGAGATAACCATTATATTTTACCAAGTAAGTTCTGGTAAACTGGTAAACCTTATTAAATTTATATCTGCATATCTGTAGGTGTTTAATATTTTTTTACTGTTGTATGCTGATTAATTTTGTCTCCTGAAAGTTCTACCTTCATATATTACATTGTTCATATAATTTCCATTTAATTGGTTTGGATTCTGTAACCACTGCAGCTTCCTTTTGTATAGTAATTTTGAATTTTCTTCATCAAACCATGATTTGACTGCAAATTTGATATTAGTTTCCCCACATAAAGTGTAAACTTTTAGAAAGAAGAATAAGTACATATCGTAAAGCACCATTATCTTCATTAAATAACATGCAATTTGTTTATATATCTCAGACCACATATAGTGTGTCCTAAATGTACTCTTCTCCACTTTTAAGGAAATGGACTGGCCCTTCGCTTAGGACCAGGATTTCATAAATATATAGCTTAAACCTTCCAGCCACTTAACAAAGTACATTTGCCCATAGTCTTCAGTCAGATATTTTTATAACATTAAATGTTAGAGCCAGTGAACAAAAGCAATTAAATCTTTAATTTGCTTTCTGCTTGTCACATGTAATGATTATTTATTACATTCTTAATAGATTTGGACCAAGGTTAAGAATGTATTCATCACTGGTCAGTGCTATTACATGTGGAACATGTTTCTGGATCCCTGCTTAGGATTGGTTTGTTTTACAAGTATATTTGTTTATTTATGTTGCAGAACGTAGACCAGGACTACCACAGCAGGCCCAGGCAACACGTGAGCAACCTCCTGCTGCTGCATGGGGTAGACCCAAACAGCAGCTTGAAGCAGCTCAGCAACCACCTGTACAGACTTCTGAAGCACAGGCACGAAGGAGAGGGCCTGCAGGTGCACCTCCATCTGGTGTTACTGGTGCAGGAGCACAAGGAAGGACTCCACCAATAGTGATGCCAGAAGGTATGTGAAGTGCCATTTGAGGTGATCCATGACATGCTATTAATTTTTGTGTTTGGATAAAATAGAAGGGAGGACAACTTACCACATGAAAAACATATGATCATTGACAGACTATAATGAACAGTTGAATATCTTTACAGTAAGAATGTTCAGGCTGTACTGTGGAATTCTGTTTCCTCCATACACTGGAAGCAAGGCAGTATCATAGTGAATTTGGCCAAGAAGACAGAATTTCTGACACTTCTGTGAAGTTTATTTTTCGTGGTCAATATATGGAAATTATATCGGAGTTTATGTCTCATGTTAGAAGCCATTAGTCCAAAATGAAAACACCTCTCACTTCTGTGATTTTTGAAAAGTTTATTCTTTCACAACTGGTCAAGAAATTCCTGCTTTTATGGAACCCAAATATTTGTTACATTTTGTTTCACATAGACTCTCTATTGCATTGGACCATATCCTGGGCCACTGTAATCCACACTGTGTTTCTCTGAGATCTATTTTTATATATTTTAATGTTTTCCTCCCATTTATTTCTGTATCTCATATGGTTTCCTTTTGGTGGATCTTAGGAAAATATGGTTGGAGAGTATGAATTGGATTCATCTGGTTGTGAACAAGGTAATGAGCATACAGGTTTGATAAAGGGTTTGGAATTTATTGACTAGCTAAGCATGCTATTAGCTTTTCAAGGAGGACTGTGTTCTGTAAAGTCTGGGAGAAACAAGTGTCAAAGCTTACTACGTGAGAGCACTGCTCGGCACTCTGCAACATGTGATGTCTGTTTCATTATTAGCAGTGTTTGACACTCCATGCTGAAGTGGTGAGCCTTATAATAATTTTAGATAAAGAGTACAAATTATAAGCCCTTCATTATGCAATATTATGTCCCATTAACTTCTTATTTTTTATTAATTTAATATCTTCCCCCCAGCACTTTGTTTTGAAACATTCTCAAGTGAGACCAGGTTTCATACCTCTGCAAAACTATGTAAAATTGTAATTCTATTTTTTTATCTTGTGATTTTTGATAGCATACTGTAACACTAAATATTCTTAACTGAATGGTAGCAAGCATATTCTGAATTAAATCATCTCTTAATTTTATCATGAATGTGATTTGGGTTTGTCATTGTTATTCCAAAGTGCTTGAACATTGCCACATTTTCAAAGAGAGTGTTATGTGTTCTCATGATTTTGTTTGAATTATTATGTGAGCCACAAAAAAGTTTAGACCAATCTCCTTACTAACCTCTAATGGGTTTTGTGCATTATTTATTGTATTATAATTTGTACTAATATGATTGAATAATGTGTAATTCTTATGTCTTGTAAGATATTTCTGACTTGTATATATTATGTTGATGCCTGATTGACTTTCCAGTAGGTGTTCAGAAAACTGTAGGTGAAACATCTCGTGTAGGAGCCATAACTAAATCATTTCAGTCCTTGCAAATACCTGCAAGAAGGGATCGAAATAAGTGTGGAACTAGGGGTCGACCAATAATTGTCGAAACAAATCATTTTGCACTGGACCTAGCAAGACTACGGAACAAGATTGTTATACATTATGATGTAACATTGGTTCCTTCACTTCCAAAGAGGCTTTTGAGGTAAATAAGATTATGTTTATACTTTTATGTATGTTTACTTGCACTCACGGGGAATATACAGGGTGAGTCAGAAGTGTGTTTACAAACTTTGTGTGTGTGTTCCAGGATCAAAAGTAAGAAAAAATGTTTCTGGGTCGCATATGTTTCATTTTCTAAATAATAGCCAAGAAAGTTTCAATGAATGACTTTATGTCAAAGTGAATCCAGCTTCCAGCAAAGATTTTCAATTAAAGTTTGTGCAGGAATTGTTGGCGACATGCTTATTGGTCTGCACATGCTCTCATCACATCTAAGAGGACCTTTATATCGGCGATTCTTAAGAAGACACTTGTCACGTCTCCTTGAAGATGTACCACTGAATACAAGAAGACATGTGGTTTATGTACGACAGAACCCCAGCACACGTCTCCCATCGTGTCAGATATCATCTCAATGAACAGCACCCTCGGCAATGAATTGGGCGTGGTGGCCTAGTAGCATGGCCGCCGAGGTCACCGGACCTGACTCCATTGGACTTTTATCTGTGGGGTCACTTGAAGTCTGCCGTTTATGCAACACCTACAAACAATGAAGACGACCTATGGGAACGTGTGCAGAATGCATGCCAGATGATTTGAGGAAACCCTGGTGTGTACGAACGAACCTGTCAGTCTTGTGTGCGTCATGCTCGGGCATGTGTGGAGAATAGAGGAGCAACCTTTGAGCATCTGTTACAAAGAAACATCCCTGTCCTTATACTTGGCAATAAAGGCGTACATTTAAAACTTATTTTTGGATATTATTTTGAAAAAAGAAGCATTTGTGACCGCATGTTCATAGGAACATTTTTTCTTATTTTTTGTTCCAGGAACACGCACACAAAGTTTGTAAACATACTTTTGACTCACTCTGTGTAAAGACAGTGAACCTTGAAAGAAATTTCTATATAATGTAACATAATTAGATTGATATTGTTCATTGTTCTCCTGTAACAGTATATTTTTAACATTATTTGTTTTACCTTAGACTGCTTCAGATTGCACTTGGAATTTATCATTAGCTTTTTTCATTGATGGCAGGAAATTATAAAGGACAACAGTGGAGTTACTTCTGTGACATAATTTTTTTGATAATCTGACAGGTGTTGAAAAGTTGTTAGGGAGTAGACATGGATAGACAGACAGACACATTCTGTTACCTTAGGCCGAAACCACACTGTGCAGTCATGTCTAATGCAGAAAAAATGTGAAGAATTCAATGAGGCCATTCACAGTGACTAAACAGGACAAGACATCAGAAACACAACCAGTCGTGATTACTTCTGTCTTGCCATCCCTTTGTTTGGTCCAGTCAAAATTGAAACTTCATACAGGGAAGCTGGTGGCATGTGATGGTGGAAAAATGTTCCTTCTAATATTTTTGTAAATTTTTGCTATGATTTCTGCAGCAACACATCTTTTCTTATTGTGTTAAAGCAGGCAACTGTATTGAAAATGATTTCTTCTGGGTTTTGATGCCATTGAAGAATCATCGGTCATTGCCAACATTTCAGAGAAACTGTTTTTATCTTCAGTACTGAAGATGGAGACATTATGTTTCTCTGAAATGTTGGTATCTACCAACAGGTCTACATGGCCCCAAAACCCAGCAAAAATATCATCATCCTCACTGCCACCAAAACCTCATATCCCACAGATGTTGAAATTTTAAGAACTACATTGCTTATATATTTTTTTATTTAAAGATTTCTGTCTTCTGAGTTGTTGCGCTGTGTAGTCTGGTCGATGTTAACCAACGTTTCAGAGGTCATACTGCCTCCGTCATCATGGCAATGCCCTTATGACGAAGGCAGTATGACCTCTGAAACGATGGTTAACATCGACCAGACTACACCGCGCAACAACCCAGAAGACAGCGATCTTCATACTCACCGCTGTGAAAACCTCAAATTTTACATATTTTTTTATTTATTTATGTAAAATGAGAAAAAGACTAGAAACAGGAAATGTTAAGCTGATTTTGCCTCATATTTTTGGGACTGCATTTGTGAAGAGTGACTACACTGTGCAAGACAGAACTCCCTAGTCATGTTCACCACTGTTTGTATTAGAGCTTTGAAGCTGTATGTTGTGTTTAGTTGTGGCAGTTGTATCTTTGCTTCCCCAGCATGATCCTTGTGCTGTCAGTCATTGGAATAAATAAAATGGCTGTGTGATGTATTAAGAATGTTCTATCACATTTTATGGGTTGAAATTATCATCTCTTTCTTCCATTGATGTTTCCTTTGTTTTAGAGCTGCCATGGGAGAATTCAGACAAAAACATTATCCTCAGCGGTTTCCAGCATTTGATGGAAAGAAAAATTTGTACAGCTCAGGAGAATTGCCTTTTGATAGAGAGGTATGTTTACTTAATTTTAGCAACAATTTTAGTTTAATATTTGTCCTTTAAACAAACTAATTTTTATAGGAACATTCCAGTTGTGATGTTTTTTCAGGTGCGTAAGTTATATAGTGATAAAGTAGAAGTGGTTGTGGGTTATTTTAAAATACTATCCCAGAATTTTCATGGAGGAACTGAGGAAAATCAGAAACAGCATCAGTCAGGATAATTGGCCCCCATTCTGTGAGTTTCACCCTTGAACTCCATGTACATAGCAGGTGTGCTAAGTACCTAACTGCAGTGGTTGGTCAGTTTTCCAGTGGAAAGTACATCTGTAGGTTTTCTATGCATTTATACTCAGTATTTGGGTATCCAGTTTCAAGCAAGTTTGATATCTGCTGTCCTTAAGATGCTTCAGTCTTTAATGTCAGGTAGCAGAACTGTAAGTTGATAATTAGCATGTTTAATTGATGTATGTGTGAATAATTTCTACTAGTGCACATTGTGATTTCAGTAATTCACTAATTAAATAAAACTAACCACGTTGAACAGAGTCCTTGAGAAGCTAATAGTATGATCAGCTAGTCAAGAAATTCTCTACCTTTTGTGGAACCCAAAGGTACAATGCCATGTTCACAAGAGTCTGCCACTGATCCCTGCCCCAAGCCAGATGAACAGTCCACACCCTCCAACTCTTTTCCCTAAGATTCATTTTAGTATTGCCTTTCCTGGGTCTTCTGATTGGTCTCTTCCCTTCAGGCTTTCCAACCAGAATTTTGTATGTCTTTGTTAACTCCTCTGTGTACACTACATGCCCCAGCCATCTGATTCTCCTTGATTTGATCATCCTAATAGTATTCAGTGAAGAACATAAATTATGGAACTCCTCATTAAACAAATTTTTTCCAGCCTTCTTTCATTTCATTTCTCTTAGGTACAAATATTCTCTTTAAGCACCCTGTTCCTATATGCATTTTCATTAATCTTCATCTTACTAGCGGTCCTTGTCTGGGACATATGTTGTGTACTCAGCCCTACGAACGTTCCTTGTGCAGAACACAAATCTTGTAACACTGTAAGTAGACTTGGCTAGGTTTTTGGCCCGTTTTAGAGGCTGCAAACATTGATTCACTTTCTCTAGAAGGTCAGCCTGAGCTGTCAACCCAGGAACTATAACCATAAACAGCAATAAACATTGTTATTGTCAAGTGGGTTTCCCCTTCCTTTTCAGACCCCCCATTCAAAGCTTCTCACATTCCTCAGCATGATGGGTGAAAAAAATGTGTATCCACTGAAGTAGGGGAAACAAATTTTTCTGTGTGGACATTAGTTCACAACCATGTCAAATGAGCTTCCAAAGAAGAAAGTAAAGTTACTAAGGCCTATTTAGGCAATTAAGATATTAACTGCATTTTAAAAAAACTCTATGTATTCTGTGTTCTGTTCGAATAAATATGGCTTTTATTTCATCAATTTATCATGTTTACTTTAGATAAAGTTTTCAGTAGAGCGTGCACAAAAGTTTAAAAACCTGCAAAAAACTCTGTATTGGTGCTACCACTTTGCCATTTAAATCCCCATCATTTAAAGGTTAATGTGAGTTTACCAAATATCACACCTGTACAAAAGAGAAGGCAAAATTATGGCCTTAGTTATGTATATGTATGCATATTTTAATTGTTTTGGACAGCAAATTGGACAAATAAAAGATTCTGAAATGCATAGTGGCAAGTATTTTCACAAATTAGTTGGCTCTTTATTTCATTGTGAATGTAATTTTGGCATGTTATTGTTGTTCCCATATACATATACTTTGTTTTTTCTGTGTTTACTTCTAGACCAGATTTCTTACTTGCATCTGGTGGAGCTTTTATGTTTTTCTTTATGATGTTTGTTTTCACCTAATAAAATAACTTTTATCTGCATAAATCACAAGCTGATGTGTCCAGTTCACTTTGTCACTCCAGTTTTTGGACCTTCATGATGACTTATTCTAGAACAAAGTTGAGAAGCATTGGTGATTAAGCATCTTTTTGTTTCTTACCAGATTTCATTAAATTTGTGAGAATAACTCAAAAGTTTTCATGGTGGACATATTTGTACTTTTCAACATATGAAGTTATTTTATAGAGAATTTATAGATATTTTATATTTCAAGTTTTAGTGGTTTGTTAGTTGTCACTCTCAGACAGAAATCTAAATCTAAATTTTGTGCATCCATTATGCTGTTACCATAACAGAAGTTGATTTAAAAAAATCTACTACCATACAATTTCAGAACTATACATTAAGAGGATGCTACTGTCACCATGGTCTCGGAAGGTTAAACATTGCTGCCATGTTAATATTTTGACTGTAGGAAATTAAGAAATGTAAAGGTGGGTGGCTTTCAAATATTTGGGAACAAGCTTAATAAATAAAAATGATATTTATGAGGATATTAGGAGGAGTCTAAATTCTGGAAATTCTTGCAACTTAGTTCAATATATTTTGTCTTCCCGTCTGATTTTTAAGGACCTAAAGATTGAAGTATACAAAACAATAATTTTGTATGGGTGCAAAACATGGTCTTTCACTCTGATTGAGGAACACAGATTGCAGGCGTTTGAGAATAGGGTGTTGAGGATATTTGGGCCTAGGAAAGAAGGGTATGGAGAAAACTGCATAATGATGATCTTAAAAAATTTTACTCCTCTCCCAATATTATCAGGGTGATTAGGTCAAGAAGAATGAGACTGGTGGAGCAGGAGGTGTGCACCGGGTATTGGTCGGGAAGCCTTAGGGGAAGAGACTACTGGGGAGACCTAGACATAGATGGGAGGATAATATCATTCGGGATCTATGGGAGATAGGAGTTGAAGGCGACTGGATTTTGTTGGCCCAGGACGGGCTGGTGGAGGGCTTTGGTTAAGTCGGTGATGAACCTTTGGGTTCCTTGAGCTATCTAGTTAGAATGTGAGTGAGTGGCTTCTGATAGCATAAAGTTTATATGAAGTGGTTTGAAAATCCTGTCAGTTTTTTCATAGATTATTAGGAGGGGTAGAGGATGTACACATAGACATGAAGATACTATAAACCTGTCTCCATATATTTGCATATATATGCTAAGAGGAATGCATGTTGTAATGAGATATTTGTTATTTTCTGGTAGTGAATTTCTTGTTGTTGTTTTTTCCTCTTCTCTCTCTCTCACACTCAGTCATTCCACTGGCAATAAAATTTGCATTAAGTACAGAATGTAATTAATTGCATTTTTGATTTCAACCATTTCATTCGCATCTGCACAGGAAATATTTGTCATATTTAGATATTAAGTGCTTATTTTGCTGTTACACATGTCAGGACTTGAAATAAAAAAAATTTGCAGAAAAACCTTTTATATATTCTTTGAACAAAATTTATAAACTGAACTGTTATTGGGTAGGTTATGTCAGTCCAGCTTCATATATCATCTTCAAAACTTTAAAACATATTTCTTGGTTATAACATAAAGATGTCATATGTTAATGCATGGCTTGTGTTTCTGGTATTTGCAGATATGTGATGAAGTTACAGTTTATGATGATGAGACTTGTAGAGAAAAGGAGTTTAAAATTACCATCAAGTTTGCATCTGAAGTTGATTTGCAGTCTCTACTTACGTATATGAAGAATGGTAGTTCTCTGGTTAAACCACAAGAAGCCATTCAAGCTGTTGATATTGTGCTACGTAATGCACCAGCCTTCAGGTGAATTCATGAAGTGTTTATTTTAAAATTGGTTGTGCGTTTGTGTAGAGTGATGGTGATTCTAAAATTTATTATTGCCGCAGGTTTGTGCAGGTTGGGCGTTCCTTTTTTAGTCCACCAAGGGATCAAATATTGGATTTAGGCAATGGCTTAGAAATGTGGTATGGATTCTTCCAAAGTGCTATCCTTGGATGGAAACCATTTGTCAATGTCGATGGTGAGTAAATCAGAGAAGAATGTTGTCATTTTTTAAAGACTACACCCCATTCCTTGGTTATGCATCTTTATGGAAGAAACTGACCACTCACCTCCACCTAATGCTGAGTTGTAAAACTGTCTTGGAAAATGTATCTGGTCCAGACTGAAAACTAATGTAAAAGTGCTTTCAATTAATGGAAGCTATTTTAACAAGGGAAAAGAAGGACAAAGATAAGAAAGTATTTAAATAGTCAGCTTGAATATTATTTTCTGTTCTTTTTATAATTTAAATAGGAAAGAACATTCTTGTCACAGTTTGAATGTTACTATGTTATGCTCTTGACAAAATATATGCAGATTACTGTAATGGAATACTTGAGGGGAATCTAGAAGGGAACAAGTTCTGGGAAGAACTTACATGACACCTTCTTAACTTCAAAAGTTTCTATCTGTGTGGTGCTGCTTGCTAGAACTGTAAATTAATAACTGCACAATTTAGCGATCCATTTCTATATATACTTTTCAATATTACAGCCTCCAGTTTTGTTAAATTTATCAGACATAATTTCAGTTTTGCTGTGTTACTATGTTTGTAATTTTTGGCACATAGGTGCATTTTAAGTAGAATTTGTAGATATGTTTATGACCTTTCTCTGTACCTAACATGTCTAGCATAAATGGTTCATTCATTACTGCTATCAGAGTGGAAGCTAAATGCAGATTTCGTTAGGTTTTATGTTTTGTAAAATTCTACATAGAGTTATCTTAACAACACATGGGAACATGTGTATATTTTGTGAAGATGTATTACCACTCATAATTTAAAGATCTTTTATTAAGTGGGACTTGTGCCACTTCTACTTCACAAGTTCTCATGGCCCTTGTGTTAGTAATATTGATATTAGAAAATTAAAAACGCTAGATGTAGGGCAGCCCCTCCAGTAGCATGGTGTTTACTCCAAGTTTCATGAAAATCTGTCACTAACTTAAAAGTTATTAGAGAAGGATAGACGTGTAGATATGATTTGAAACTTGAGGTTCTCACTGTGGTGGAGATCTTGTTGGTCTTGTTGGTTGTAATGCTATGTGTACCTGTTTGTAGATACCAGTGGTTCTCACAAAATGTCCACACAGCATTATAATCTAGAAGACCAATGTTGACATACAAATGATGATACCCTAAGCCTATCTTTCATCATAAAGTAAGGAAAGTTTTAGAAGGGAGGCCAAAGCCCACCCTTGGCTGAGCACCGAGGAAGAAGGAGAAGAAACTAAAAAGAAGAGAAGGGAAAGGAAGAGAATGGAAAGGAAGACAACTGAAAATCCAGCATAGTATACATGCATATGCAGTATGAGTTTCTGATTTGTGTTTGGATTATAAATACATGTGTTATATGTTTTAGTTGGAACTAAATGCATTAAATTAAAACTTAACAGAAACTGAAAGTGTTACATTCACTTTTGATTTGGTTATAAGAATGTTTTACTGTGGTTATTTGTACTTCATGTAACAAGAATGTTTTTGTTTCACAGTGGCACACAAAGGTTTTCCTTCAGCAAAAAATGTTGTTGATATTCTTATGGAGATATGCAACCTCAGACATGCAGACCTTGGGCGAGAATTGTCAGTCTGGCACAAGAGAGATTTTATGAACTATATTCGTGGTAAGAATAATAATAAATATCATTATATGAATTTGATGGCAGCATACATAAGTATAAGTGATGTGAGGCAAACTTATTTTCAACAAATTTCTGTTTTAGGCCTTAAGGTTGATTATATGCTTCCAAATGTGCCAACAAGCAAGAGAACATACAAAGTGAACAATATTGTTCGAAGTGCAGTTGATCAGAAGTGAGTATCATACTTAAGTAAACATACTGCTTAGTGCAGGGTCTTTCTTGAAAAATTGTTTGTCACTCAGTCAGTCAAGGTATTCCCTCTTTATATGGAGCCCAAAGGTTCGTCACTGTATTGTCAGAGTCTCACTGTTGGGCATTGTCTTGTGTAATTTGAATTTAGAATGTACCTAAACACCATTTCTTTAAGATCAGTTTTTTCCTCTTGTCTGCATCCTGGTCTCTTAAGTGATTAACCAATTTAATGGTAGTTACAACACCTGTTTTACTGTTTGGAGATTCTGGGTTCAAATCTTACTTTCCTATTTGAGATTTTTTCAGTTCTTCCAGGCAAATGGTGTTAAAATACCTTCATACAAAATACAACATCATAGGGACCCATTTGATACCTAACATTGTGTTGCTGTTTCCCCTTTGGCCTTTGAAGCATGACCATCTGACAGTCTACTCAAAATACATACATAGACAAATAAACACTAATATATTATACATTTCAAGTGAGTTAGAAGCAGTCTTAGTTTGGGGAAACATTTCATACCAGTACAGTGTAGAAGGAGCTGTTCATTTCTTGGATTAGTAGACATTGAATCTTGTGCTTGGAGAGTGAGGTTGAAATACTACAGATGCTTTTAAAAGATACAGAGAAAAGTATCCTAATTGTAGAGAGCCGGATCGTACTATGGTACAAAAATGAAATCTGAATTTTTAATAGACTCCCAAACCTCCCTCATGCCACTTGAGTCAAGGTCGCCCTTGTTTCTAGGCTGTTGCTTATGACAGTTGTGCAAAAACTGTGCAGGTGTGAGCATAATGTATTCATGAGCAGAATGTGTGTTCATTCTCAAAGATTACTTTGCATAAAAATCATTTGATGCTGTTTGTGAAGCATGTAGCAATGCATATCCTAACAAGAAAATTCTGAATAAGACATCCAATACAGTGACTGGTAACAAAATTTTGGGACAACAGAAAACATGTCTTGTTGCCCTCGGTGGTCTAGTGGTAGCATGCTGGCCACTGGACCGAAGGCTTGTGGGTTCAAAGCTGGCCAAGGTTGATGGTTTTTAAGGGTGATAAAAATACATAGTACGACTTCCTCTGGAGGGGAAGTAAATCCGGTGGTACCATATCACAGATTTACGACATGTAAAAGAACCTTACGAGCATGAATGAGATGTTTTGTAAGCAAAATTCAGCAACTGTTTCTCACCCATGTCTCTGGTAGAGGCCTTGTGATGGGCTGATCACACATCCAAGTAGTCCTTCCCAAATGTCTAAAAAATAGATCAGAAACCTCCAAAAGGAGGCCTCTATGCTCCATGTAGGAGTGAAAAGGGCATAAGAAGAAGAAGGAAACATGTCTGGCATTGGACAGTGTTGACAGGTAAGATGTTTCATGTTGTTGAAGAAACATCAGAAACAAGTTGTTTTGTTATTCACACGCATATGTACATGAGTTGTAGATAGGTTTGCATTTTGAATGGAAGAAACTGTGTGCAGATAAATTTGGATGTGAGAGGTGGTTGCTGCAGAATTTTGTATAAACATATTGTGTACTTTTCCTTTGTGAAGGTTTGAGTTGGATAGTGGCAGATCAATATCAGTTGCAGAATACTTTGCCCAAGAGAAGAAGATACGGCTTTCGTTTCCTCATCTCCCATGTCTTCATGTTGGCTCACTGCAGAGGCCCAAACCAATTTATGTTCCAGCAGAAGTAAGTAAAGCATAATTATTTTCATATCATAGTGTTAATATGCACTGTTGCTAGTCACTTTACTGTAGTTTTTAGTATTGGCTTTATAACATCCTACTTTGTTATTTTTCTGCATTGATGATAACTGCGCTTAGGAATATTGGACAAAGATTTCATCATTATGTCGAACTGTACCTTTTATAGGATGGAAGTAACCTTGGACACACACAGAGGGCTCCTCTCCTCCTAACTTCCTCGTGAGGAAGTTAGGAGGAGACTAAAATCCGGAAATGCTTGCTACTTCTCGGTTCAAAATATTTTGCCTTCCCGTCTGATTTCTAATGCTACGTTTACACGGCGAGAGTTGAGAGCGGCAGTTGGTCTCAAGTCCGGTATATGGAGAGAGGTATCGGAGGGTGTTCAGACGTTGAGAGAATGTTGCTACTGTCAGCCTGAGAGGTTCTCTCAATTGAGCGAAATATATCTCTAAATGTCGAGCTTCTCTCATGACCATTTACACGGTGAGGCACTGAGAGTGGATATAATGAGACATAACGGAACTCTACATGGAGTTGACAATGAACTGGAGCCGCCATAGGTCAGTGTGTTCTTAATGGCAGACGAACAACAGCGTGTTGCGGTAATTTTAATTCTCTTGAAGAGGAGAAGACAGAACAATTTGGGTAAAGCCCTGGATTTCACGGTGTAGTAGTCATGGGGCATATTCGTGCCTTGTCCGGGAGTTGTGGGTGGAAGATCCCATCTAGTTACGAAGTTTACTAAGAATGTCATCAACAGATATAGAAGAAATAGTAACATACTTCTCTCAAGAAACTTCATATTTTTGATGTACGGCCATTGCGATCTGAATGTGTCTGCTGCACCATGACCTGACACCTATAGCAGTGCATGCAAACTCCGTGATTATATTACACATTCCATTATTACATTAATAAAAATGAAAGTACACTTACCAGTGGGTTATGCAGTTTCCTTTGCACTTCGTTTACTATCGTTTGAAACCTGGCTGTCATCCCTCATACATTTTATTTATTTAAATCCTTGTCTCTGTGTGATTTTTCAAAAACATTCCACAGACATGTTGTCGATTTGTCCTCCTCAATCAAACGTTTCGTTTCTTCGGCAGTCCACATCTTCGTTCTCCTTGCATCCTCCATTTCTGCTCTCATAAGAGTGAATAAAAGTTCAGCTGTGTTGAACTTCGTAGAGCACCACTATTCAGAGTTTAGTCTCAATCGCTGTATGGTTTACAGGATAAACAGCTGACCTCAGCTATATCCCCTCTCTTTTCTTTTTTTAGACTTTAGACTAAGGAAAATACCTGCTCTCCTGACCATTTACATGCAGCTACCTGACCATAATCCCTAACAGTATTCTATAAACCCTCCTTACCTGAAAATTAAAGTATACAAAACAATAATTTTGCCTGTTGTTTTGTATGGGTGCGAAACATGGTCTCTCACTCTGAGGGAGGAACATAGATTGCAGGGTGTTGAGGATATTCCGGCCTAGGAGAGAAGAAGATGGGGTCTGGAGAAAATATATAATGATGAACTTAAAAATTTATACTCCTCCCCCAGTATTGTCAGTGTGATTATGTTGAGAAGAATGAGATGGGTGGGGCATGTCATGCTCATGGATGGGACAAGAGGTGTGCACTGGGTATTGGTTGGGAAGCCTGAGGGGAAGAGACCGCTGGGGAGACCTAGATGTAGATGGGAGAATAATGTTAGGTGGGATCTATGGGAGATAGGAGTTGAAGGAGACTGGATTTTGTTGACCCAGGACAGGGACTGGTGGAGGGCTTTGCTGATGAACCTTTGGGTTCAGTAAGCCGTCTAGTTTGTTAGTTAGTGATTGAAACAGGCTATCTATAAAAAGTCTTGGGTATCAGTCACTTGAGATTCGAAGTTCTCATGATGATGAAAATGTTGATTGTGGTCTTGTGAGTTGTGATGTCATGTAGTTGTACAGAGAGTTAAAAATGCTTCAGACGAACATCATCACTTTAACCCCAAAGATGGAGAGGATGCATTCCTCCAAAACATTGGTGACCACCTATAAGACTACACAACATCACAACCTAGAAGACTGCATTTTACTCAAGTATCATTCATTTTTGTATTAAAAAAGAAAAGCAGCAAATTAAAATATCGTGACCATATATTATTAAGTAGGTTTTGAGGTTTTCACAGTGGTAAGTAAGTCTTCTGGGTTATAGTGCTGTGTAGTCTGGTAGAAGTTTACTGGCATTTCAGAGGTCATTGCTGCCTTCATCATCAGGGCAATGCAGCAAAGACCTCTGAAACATAGACAGCATGGCACTACAACCCAGAAAACAGCCATTTTCATATAGTGGTGATTTAAAAAGAGACAAGTCATATAGTAAAATGTCCAGCAAATGTAGGCAGTATATAGTTTTTACAGTTGTTTTTACTGTAAATTGGCACATTCCCACAAAACATAACGTTTATGTAATTTTTTGTCATTTTTCTGCCATGCATATTTAATTATGTTCCAAATTTGCTGTGGAGCAGCAGTGCTGGTACCTTTTGCAGAGCTGTGGTGCATTGCTACCACGTGTTGTTGGATTATTCTAGCCGTGTTGTACTGTGGCCACCTAATGCTAGGACCCTTGGTTACCCCTCAGCATTACTATGAGATCACCCTTTGGTAGGCTGCCACCATCCTTGCCATTAGCACTTTCCTAGACTCTGTCTTTGATAGTGCCTTCAGGAGGGGAAAATCAACATATGGGGTAATTTTTGTAATGTAGCCATTCTGGTCTCTTGGTATGTGAGGTAAGATGCCTGATTTGGGCTGTAGGGAGGGTGGGGGATACACTGAACACCTTTACTTCTAAAAATTTGAATGACAATATTTGCAACGTGTGGTCTGGCATTGTCATGATGAAGCATCCAGTGTCCAACAAGCTCCGGTCATTTTCTTCTGCTGTAGTCCATGAGGGTTTTGAGAACTGAACAGTAGTAAGCTCCAGTGATAGTTGTTTCAGGTGGTACTGTTTGCATGTAAATCATTCCATAAGACACTATTGCCAGAACAGCAACTACAGATTGAGACATGAGGTATTTTTGGTCTTAGTGAGCTTGTGGAGACCCACTGGGTGCTTTGCTGCTTACTCTCAGGATTATACAGCCTAATCCATGTTTCATTACCTGTTAAAATGTTTTGTAACTACTTGTTTCACGGTTCTGCAGTGCAAGATTTCCACAGCTGGTAGACTTCAGCATGGTTCACTTGTTGCCTGGGTGTCAGCAGTTGAGGAATCCATCTCACACGGATACAGGACATGATCATATGATCGATCCTTCATGATAGCGTGTACACTCCATACATATATTTTGAGCATCAGACAACTTTCTAATGTTAACTCATTGATCTTCATGCTCTACAACAGAGGTGATATTCATAGTCACATCGTTAATTACAGTTCAAGGAGCTCCCTGCTCACCCAGTTTCTTGGACAACTCCCATTCTTCTTTGAATTTTTTGAACCATGAAAGTGTTGTTGATTGAGGGAAAACATCTTCCCAGTAAGCCTCTTTTAACAAATTGTATACTTGACTTGCAGTTTTTTATGTGGTAACATAATTTAAGTGCAGCACATTCTACTTTAACATCCATCATGACGGATGTGTGACTTTGGAGGTGAGACAGGCATAGCTTGTAATCAGGGTCACAGCATAAGCACAACTAAACACACAGCAAACTGTAACTGCATATGCTGATTCACACCTGTCAGTGTGACCAACCACTGTAAATGAAAGTTCCATCAAGACTTGCAAACACTTTACAAAAATCATTCTCAGTCTTTGTTGAACATCCCTTGTGTATTGTAAGGATAATGGTATCAACAAGAGTGAATGATGTGAAGGAGAACAAAGATTGTCTCCATATGTCTCCACTAATGTCAGTGAGATTTGGCTCCTAGCCCTGTATTTCTGTGCTGCTAAGTGATGTTAATTCCATAAGGTGTGTTTATAGCTCTTCTTTTTACACATGGCAGGCCAGTTCCAGAATTCACTTACTGGTGAAACAGCTCAGTTACCAACATACTGCAAAGTCCAAGATTTGTTCTCTTTGGCTGATAGGTGGCACGATCTTCACTAATTGTATTACTGATTGAATCTTACAGCAGTCATGCTTGTGTTCTATCTGTGATGCGAGCATTATCTGGTGTGTGATGCTGAAATCTCTTAATTCTGTCACTATTTTACATGTTGCTAAATCTTATGGCTGCTGGGACATACCAGTGTCCGTTCCTTTTAGTGACAATATCACACTTCACTTGTTAGTAATTGTGTGTTGCATTTAGGAGTGACAGGTTTGATTCTTGGCTCGGAGGGTCATATTCTTGTTTGACTGCTTTACCTCATTTCCACCATGCAAATGTTGGATAGTAGTTTGTGATATGCCAGAACAATTTTTTCCTGCAGCCTTCTGAATTCTTTATTCACAACAATACTAACATTTAGTGCTGTATGATCTGTGTTGTTGAAAGAGTATTGTTAAATAAACTTTAAAAAACAAAGTAAGCTTTAGATGAGAATTTATAAAAATGTCAAGTATGGTTTTACAAGTGAGTAGCAAATGGTATTTTCCAAAATTGTATGTTAATGTGATGTATTTGTTACAAAATTTATTGTATTTGTTTTCAGTTATGCTGTGTGACGAAAGGGCAAGTGATAAACAGAAAAATGGATGAGACACAAACATCTAACATGATAAAGCAAGCTGCAACTAGTACTGATGTCAGGAAACGCAAAATCCAAGAAGCAGTATGTTTCAGTAGTTTAATCCAATAATTAATATTTTCACTTATGACACCCCACCACATCCATTTTATTTTGTTTGAATTTTAAAACTGTTGGACATGCTTCTGTGACTATTAGCTAGCCTTGCTATATCTGTGTGTCAGTCTGCATGGAACATCTTGGGGGAATCCCCATGCAATCACCCAGCCAGACATGTGCTGTATACCACTGCCCTTGTGAGTTTTATAAATCCCAGATAACTCCGAAATCGCTGGTACTGTTCAAAGGTTAAAGGTCAAATTCTGGTAAACATGCCAGAATTGTTATGCAGTGCATACTTTTCCAAACTTGTTTAATTTAAAGGTTACTGGTATTATTGGACTGAGTGATATTGTAGCAGAATATGATTTGAATGATTTCTTCTCCATCTCTTCACAGTGACCAATTTAAGGCCCACATGATGCTGTTCTATTAAAATTTGCACCTAATGGTAGTTCTTTTTCTTCATTCAATTACACACAGAAATACTAAATTTCTGAAATGTTTCACTATTACTAGTGTCTTGACATACCTGATAACCATTAATTTAAAATTAACAAGAAATGCAGTTTGCAAGAATGAAGAAACCTTTGTATGAAATCTGTCGTAATTCAGTGTGGTCTGTGTTATCATATGTCACGTGATTTATTGTACCCGTATTGATGGGGATAGTTATTGTAAACATGAAAAAAATAACTTTTAAAATGAATAATATTAGTTACATATAAATGTTGAGTATTAACATTGAATCAGTTCTTAACAGTTGCCACTGACGGTCATAATGCGATATTTAAGCATCACGTTGAGGTAGTATTTTAACAACATAATAAATGTGCATCCAAGTACACACATACATAGCAATGATATATGATTACTGCTCAAGATAAATGTAAGATGACTTTCAGAATTTATTTTAATTTTGTATAATGTTTTAATGTGGATAATAACAAACATGCAACATTGACTATTCAGTTAATACACCAAAATAATGTAAAATTATAATTTGTGTAAAAAGTCAAGGGGCCAGATGATGGACTAAAGAGTTTGAAACATGCTGCCAAAAATTGTAAAATAAAATAAGTGTGAAGTTATAACGTTTGTACAACTTTTTGAGTGGACAGAGACAGTATGATATTGTCATTGTTACAATTATAAGTTAACTGTCCATTCACATTTTTCAGATTCTGTCTGTTTCAAAATTTGTGTGAACATGGAGTGTGTATGTGAGAACATTTAGAAATAATGATTTTGGTTCCAGGATCATTCTCTTAGTTTGAACAGTGAGAAAGTAATTGGGTTAAGGGTTAATGTCTAAAGTATATTGTGTCATAACAGAATGTACCTGAAAAGCAGAACCACAGTTTGAGAAATATAAAACTGTATTAAACTCATACAAGTATGATGGTAACAGTTGTAAAATTCAAACAGTTTCAGTATTTGAAATATTTTCTGTAGATGCACAAGTTTCAAATTCTCAAGATGCCATTATCTGTTTTCTCACAATATTTTGTGTCTACAATTTTTCTTTATTTACAAATATAAGACCCCACACACACACACTAAAAACAGAAGCAAAGAAAGTTTTGTGGTTGAGTAAATGTAGTATTATGCTTGGGATGCAGAGGGTGAGAGCACCAAAATTATCATTTGAAAGAAGCCTTTTTGTTCCAATGACAGATATTTGTGTTCAATTATACACAAAGCCAGTGATCATATTAACCGTACTATTTCAGATGAATGCACTGAGATTCAATGAAGACCCGTGTCTGAAAGAGTTTGGTCTCTCTGTCAGTGATCGATTTGAAAAAGTAGGAGCTCGTATATTGGATCCGCCACAATTGGAGTATAATCCTAACGTAAGTATTTTGGAATGCTGTAAAGACATTTGTCAAAGAACAGGCTACTACAGCTCTTAATAATGACATTTTTATGAGGAAAGATTACATGCATACATGTAATAGTATTCTGGCTTCTGGTGAGATACATTGCAACAGCTACACATGCTATAGTTATTGTATGAACTCCCATCTTGCATTCTGTTCTTTACTTGGAAGCCAGCTGTCCAGACTTTGATCTTTTCTGTTTCTCACTTCTTCTAGGAAAATATAAGGAAAATGCATTTTCCATTACTGTTGTGTTCATGTTGTTTCCAGTTTGTCATCTGGTATGATTATCCAATTTGATGCTTCATACGCACCCACTTTGCAGTTTGATGTCTGTAGAGAAATTAGTTTTGCAGGAATATATTTGTATCTGTAATAAATGAACACCAAGAACAGTGAAATATTCAAAATTGTAAAAAGTGCATTTGGAAAATGTATTTTTCACTGTAGTACATGTGCTTTTTTATTTTGGTTGTCTCTTGCAGGCTTCTAGGTTTGTGCATCACAATTTGCTGTAGCACAGGTTTAGAATGGACTATGTAAAGTAAAAACTGGGGATAATTAAAATGTAGAATTGCACTATACATGTTCCACAAGAAACATTCCAAAGTTCCTTGATCATTATTATTGCAGAATAAGAGAAATGTTTGTCCAGTGAAGGGTGTTTGGAGACCAGAGGCATTTTTAAGGAGTAACAAATTGACTCATTGGATTATACTGAACTTAAATAGATTTACAAGAGAAGATGATCTGAGGTGAGTGAATGCTGTAACAAAAGAATTGTGCATTATTATATAATTTTCAGTTTGAAGAAAATGCTAAGAGCCTCTTATAAATAGGAAGAATTGTTTTTGGCTCAGTACACTTTCACAGTTAGGCCATGTAGGCAGTTGTATTTTTGATCATGGACTGTTAAATTTATGCACCCAAGTCTTTGATCACAAAGTTGTGGGAGAAGTTGTGTGAAGTATTCAATTAAGTATGGTATAACCTTGTCACCCTTGGTGGACTAGTGGTTAGCATGCTCACCACTGACACAAGGTTCGTGGGTTCAAACATGACCGAAAATGATGGATTTTTAAGGGCGATAAAAATCCATAGGACAGCTTCCTTCAGAGGGGGTAGTAACGCTGGCGAGATGTTTCGTAAGCAAAATTCAGTGGCCATTTCTCACCCAAGTCTCCTGATTCACTACTAGATGGCTGTGGCAGTCAAAATCATGATTGAATAGAAATTGTGCAGTCAGTGGGCTGGTCACTCACTACTCACAAACGCACATATCAAAAGACCAAGGACACCTTCAGAAGGAGGCCCTATGCTCTGGAAAAGAGCGATAGGAAATAAAAGAAAAAGAAGAATGGTATAACCTTCATTCTTATCTGTAGAATATTGAATCCTCTTAACATTGTGAAGTCTTAGTCTTTTATATTTATGTCACAGGCGTTTTGCAATGGAAATGCAGAATATGGGAAAATCTTTGGGGATGATCATTCATCCTCCTTCAACCCCAGTGAGTATGGAGCCACCAAAGAAAAATACACACGAACTAATGGCGTTCTTTAAATCATTGAAGAATGATAAAGTTCAGCTTGTGGTTGTTGTGGTGCCTGATAAAGGAGATTGCTATGGTAAGAGGTTATATACTTACAAAGTTACATTGTGTTTTTAGTAACTAAGTAGCCCACATTTATTATTGGTTTCCAATCTTGGACTATATTACTTGTTGCATTGTATCCAATGAACATTGAAATTGAAATAGCCATGAAAACAACAGTGAGTTTGATAGGTACTACAGATTGCCATCATTGACATTAAACAAATTCATAATTTTATTAATGTGCAATTAATTAGTCATTGTTTTATCATTTGAAAGATTTTTACTCCTTGGTATGCATTTTGAAAACTCACTCTAGTTAAACATTGTCAGGTTGTATACTCCTTTTTATTCCTGCCTCTTACACAAGTGAAAAAGCATATGGTATCATGTAAGAAAACTGATCATATAAATTAATTCTGATTCAAAATCTGAGTGCAAGCATTTCACATCACATCACTAAGCATTGCTTAGTGTATGTTGGCAACCCTGGTGTTTAAAGGTTGTGTGTCATAAACACATGCAACTAATATAGAGTAAGCAAACCAACAACTATTAACACTATAATAAGACACTATTGCCATACGTGTTTCGACCTCAAGAGGTCATCATCAGTAGCATCAGGGAAATTTCCTTGAGGTTTAAACGTGTATGGCAATAGTGTCTTATTATAATGTTAATAGTTGTTGGTTTGCTTACTCTATATTCTAATACACTACATGGTATGCAAAGTTTTAACATGCAAGTAAGTAAGGAGCTAGTCATAATCTGTGCAGATTTGAGGCTGTTTGTGTGTTGTGTTGGCTTTGTTGCTTTATTAACACCCCCCCCAACACACACACATGTAAACATATATAAAGTGATCTTCAGGCAACTAATATGGAGGAATTGCACCATCATGACTGTGTGAATTTTCTTGTCTGGTTTTGTCATGTGTGTGGCCATTGTGCAGCATTGTCACAACAGTCTGCAACAAAGATTGTAAAACAACCTTATTTTCTTTATCATAATTGCCAAATAAATTAATTGAATTGAATTGAATTTTAGAAATCAAGGTAAAAGTTGGACTTCACATTTATGCTGCACTAATAAAAGGGTTATGTACGAGGGTCGCTCATTAAATAAATCCCCACATTTTTTTTCTCAGCCAATAATGAAGATAGAAAAGTGTACTTTTACGTGCTTGAGATTTGATGTTTCCCGCGTTCGTGTACGTAGTTTCAAATGATTCCAACCGATCGCGGAGCTGTAGTGAACTGTTAAAATGGCGTCTGTGAACGACTCTCGTTACAAGCAACGAGCTGTAATTGAATTCCTTGTTGCTGAAAAAGAAACGGTGGTGAACATTCATAAACGTTTGTGTGCTGTGTATGGAAGCTGTGCAGTCGATAGGAGCACCGTTGGTCGCTGGGCTAAGAGAGTTAAAGCTTCAGGAAGTGAAGAAACCGAACTCCGTGATCTGCCGCACTCTGGACGTCCTGCCACAGCCACCACTCCAGACATGTTGAACCGCGCGGATGCCATTATTCATGAGGATCGGCGCATCACAACTCGACAATTGGCCCAACAGCTTTCAGTCAGCATTAGAAATGTGATTGCAATTATCCGGGCTCTCGCATATTCGAAGGTGTGCACAAGATGGGTTCCATGAAGTCTCACAGCAGACCACAGGATTCAAAGGAAAACAATTTCTTCTGAAATGTTGGAGCA